CCCCAAAACCCCAAAACCCCGTTGTGCCATAGAGCATAGAATAGGATAAATAAATCTTTTATCTTACTAAATCAAAAAATTATACCTGATAATTTCAAAGAGATACTTTTTGTAAATGGAAACTATCATCCCACAAAATAATCATAGCGACCCATTCCTCACTTCTTAAGATGTATCAAATTTATTCATAACTCATACTTATCTAGTTCCATAATTGCCTAGTCGAAGCAGCAAACTTTATATTGTAGAAATTAGGAGTTGAAAAAATAGACCTATCAATAGTTGAAGGATCTGGCTTACTCGACATCTCGCACCATCTTATCCCAGATCCAATAGTAATTTAAATGACAGACGTACCTCACTGCCCAATTCCAACTGCTATTGGACACAAGCAATAAATATTCTACGGCATTGTTAATGGCCGCAGAACTATCATTTGGAACGGAAGAATCCACTACTATGAGGGATACAGAGTTTGCCATTAAGCTTTTCCAGCATATCTTTCAGCATATCTAGGATGTGGAGTTTTTATCACAACTAACGCTGCTGGCTTTATCAACCAAAACATGGCTATTGGAGACTTAGCATTAATTACTGACCATATAAGTATGATAAACAAGCCTTATGATGGAGGTAAAACAACTCAAATACTAATAAATGTTTTATAGTATCATATCTTGATAATCTTCTGAGACATAATAAAGATATTAGTAGTGACATCTTCAGTTCAAGTTAAATCTATGATTAGGAAATGATTAATTTAACAAGAGAGGCATTTACAGAAGCGGGCCTTAAGCTTACTGAGGGTCATTACTGTTACTTTGCTCTGCCTAATTATGAATCCCCATCTGAAATATAAATTATGCATGATCTTGGAGCTGCTACAGTAGGTGCTAGTACTCTTCCTGAGCAAATAGCATGCTATTTGACTGGAATGAGAAGAGTCATCATCTCATCTGCTACATCTCCTTCATCTGGAATGAGTAGCTAAGAAATTTCAGGAGAGGAAGTGCTTGATTGTGGAGTTAAATGTGTCATAAGTTTTGCCAAATTACTCCCTGTTTTGATTGGGTATTAATTCATTATACTAACTTATTAGAAAATTGAAGGATGAAATGTTTATGAACAAACCAACAAATGCTTTGATGAACTAATTTAGTAAGCTCTCAACTTTAAACAACTAGAGAGTAAGAAGTGATTACAAGATTAATTTTAATAAATATAGATTGAATACACCAACCTCAAGGATGTTGCAATGAAAATAGCAAACAAAGTAAAAGAAAAACTGCAAGATGTAATCTTCGAAAGAGCAATTTGGCTTATGTCAGACTAACTTTACAACTAATTTATTGAAGAACATAGAGAATAATCTGAAAATCCAATATACATATTAAATCTATCAGATATTCATCCATTCAGAACTAGATCATGTAATGTACTTATTACCATTAACTTTCTTAGATTAAGAAGCATAGCTTGTATTTGGCAAATTCAATACTAAGTATTGGATTATAATAAGGTAATCACATCTTGAGGGCATGCTGCCAATTGAGTATTCTGCTATCCTCCAAGCCCTAAAGATGTTAAATTTGTCCTAAGCTATTGAAGTTTATTTTGAAGCATCATCAGTTTCAAATGAGTCCCTCAATGATCAAGTCCACAGGATCTCTAACTCAAGTTATCTTAACAAAAGATTTTATAAGTTAACTGAAGACGAAGGATACGATACCTTGCCTGAACCAACATTGGATAGCAATTCAACTTTATCTTTAATTGCATTTGAAGGTACAATGCTACCTTCTAAGACTGAACTCAAATTTGCTTAAAAGGCTGGAATCGATTTATACACTACCACTAACTTTAGTTTTGCAGATCAAGCCTAGCATTTAGGAGTTAATGTAAGATTAAATGCTGTTGCCAAGAGAGATCTTTCAAGGGGGAAAGATATTAAAGTTAATTGTTTTAATGAAGATTCAAAGTATGATGATACAGATACTACTTAAAAACAATCTGAAACTATAAGATTGCCTGAAGTGAAACTAGATTATGATGCAATTTTTAACATCAAGGTAAGATTTATTTACTAATCTTTCGTTATAGCATTCAAGGGATGAAGTATTTGAGACTTCTGTGAAAGTAGGAGAGATATTAGGTCAAGTGGACAACATTCTAGTCTTAGAAAAAGAAACTTATGAGGTCTTTATGAATGACCTGTCTGAAAACTTTACTCTTGATAAAAAAATTAGATTCAATCTACTTGATTATCACACTGAGGAGTCAGTTGATGTTCTTAAAATAACTACCAAAAACGGTGTTAGCATTATTGTCCTCTCTCAAACCTTGACATATTAGAGCAATGTTCCATTCTAAACATCCCTTTTGCCAATGAGAGTAATATCCTTTATAATTATCAATTTTAGTTAATAATAATGGGTTGCAAGGCCAAAAACTTTTTAACTTGCCCTCATGTTTGGGGTTTAAAGCATACTGAAGATACCACTGCTCAAAATTTGGGAAGCCTCTTTATCGTTAAAGATCATGCCAATATCTCAGCTTAACCACCAGGAATAGGCCCTAACCTTGATGAGTAAACATTTTAATTATCTTAATATTTGACAAAGATACGGACCTAGATTTTACGACATCTCAACAATGTATGAAAAAGGATTCGTCTAATCAATTCTGAACATATCAAACAGCAACAGTTTGGAGCACGCTTATGGTGAGGTATTTTGGGCTAACAATTCCGCTATTCCCTCAACAAGAATCTTTGAAAACTTAGGCAGAGGTGTGTCAAACTAAAGAATTACCTTCAAGGGTCTTATTAAGTCTGGAGTAAATGAGCTCATGGCTGTACATCACAGAAGAAATTACTCTGAGTACAAACTTACCTCTGCCATGGTTGGCTTAGTTACTGATTCGTATATCAGACGATAAAGTCAAACAGAGACCTACAGAAAGGGTGTTTCAAATCTTATCAAAGTAGTCTTTCAGTCATTTGAGACTTTGAAAATCCAGTGATTTGATATATTTAGATATTCTTTAACAAGAATAATTTAAATTTCACTGTTAATAATTATATTTCATGGGGTTTTGGGGTTTTGGGG